CTGTTGAAATGTGGGAATTGCCCATACTGGAGAGTTTGATGAAGAATGCATTGATCAACGAGATCCCAGATGTTCGTATGATTGCGGACGACGAGCTAATGACCATTGAACCACACTGTCGTGGTTTGCGTGCAATTCATTCACCTCGCACGGGAAATGTGAACTGGCAAGCTGTGGCCAATGCCTATGGTGAGGATTTTGTGCAAAGCGGAGGTCAAATACGAACAGGGTTTGAAGTTACTCACATTGAATCATCTATGGATCACCTTGACTATCCTATATTAATTCGAGGAATGCAACGACAGGGTAACCAGAGAAGACCGTTTGAGCTTCAATGCAAATATTTAATCACTTGTGCCGGACTCCAAGGGGATCGTGTGGCCAGAATGACAGGTTGCCCAACAATTCCCAAAATTATTCCTTTTCGTGGTGATTTTATGATTCTCAAACCGGAAAAAAGCCACCTAGTTCGGGGTAATATCTACCCTGTACCCGACGCCCGTTTTCCTTTCCTAGGGGCTCACTTCAACTCCGGGTTGGGTGAATCGGTTTTACTCGGACCAAATGCTGTGTTGTCTCTAAGGAGGGAAGGGTACGGTTTGATGGATTTCAATTTGAGAGATGCAGTAGAATCACTCACGTACCCGGGACTGCAACGTATGATTTATAAATACTTCGGAGTTGGAATGAACGAGTGGATGCGAGCTTTTTCTATTAGAGCACAAATGAAATATCTCCAGCGCTTTATTCCCGAAATATCGGCAGAGGATGTCACACGTGGTCCATCCGGAATTCGAGCCCAGGCAGTGGATAAAAAAGGAAATCTATTAGACGATTTTATCATGCATCAAGGAACTGGAAGTGCTGGATGGAGAATTGTTCACGTACTGGGTGTCCCATCACCGGGTGCCACATCCTCACTACCCATAGCGCGTCTGCTCATCAGTAAATCGGAAACTCAATTCAACTGGCCATCAACACGTAAAGAAAAGTGATGATTGAAAGGTTACATGGAATTGGGGTGGTCGTGTGCGTTTGAAAAGTTGGCAAAAAACCAATCACATAATCCACCGGACAGTTCCTTGCCAATGATACACTCGCGCGAATCTTCGCACTTAGCCCACTCTATTCTTCATGATTTTCACCAACGAACAACGAATAGACTATTCGTTTTTTGCATTCGCTTTATAGCTTTTTCATGGGCACCACAATTCTCCACTGGGTGAGTAATTAGTGTTTCCGAACTTTCCGACACGAAATTCCATTCAGCCGTTGTAACTCCGACGCATTTTGAAGAAAATGAATTTCCTCAAAAGAATGTTTTGATTTTTATCGTCACGGTTTAGAAAAATTTCCGGAAAGTCTACTTCGTTCGGACAAACGAAATTTACATTACAAATAGTCCGTCTTGTTAAAACTTGGCTGTTAATATATTTCATCATGATAAGTTATGCAGTTACCTATCCTTCGGTTCTAGTCAAAAACTATATAAACAGAAAACCGTTGTATGATCTCTACAGGCAGGAGTTTGAACCGTTGAAAACAATTTCTCGTATTCTGTTATCACAGTAGTTCTTGGTCCGGGAAATAACTGAAACTTTTAGTTACTTCATTTAGGCCATTTTTCTAATTAGTCGAAATACTAAACAGAAAAGCGGATACCGTTTTAGTTCAATAATTACTGATGCAGGATGTCGGTTAATGAAAAATGGGTATGGAGTTGTGGAAGGAAAATGAAAATAAAGTGTTTGCATCATGTGTATCTATAATTGGCATGAGAGAGAATGGGTTCCTGGGGATGATAATACTATATGGAGCGTAAACAATCAAGAGTGGCTCGCCCGATACTTTGTGGTTAATGGAGGTAATAGTAATTTGATGAAAATGTTTCGATCGATAAAGAAGATTAGGAAATAAGAACAGTAACGGAACGTGCTCAGGATTTGTCTATTAATTACTGAAGGATATGAATATTTCTGGGAAGAACTCTTTGCCTTATCCAGGCAGCTATTTGATCAATTTGGGGTGATGTGGTTTGTATGCGCATTCCTTTTTTCATTTTTTGTGCTTGTTCGCTGCGTAGAGTATGTTGTTCGAGTTTGAATGAAAATGAGGTAGCACTAATTCTAAATTGTATTCGTTGTGTAAGTGAATGGATCAATGGTGAAAGAAGAAGATTGTAGGAATGATAAACAGTGAAGTACTGAAAAGAAACTTATGTTGCAGAATGATTCTGTTGGCTGAGGGTGTTCAATTTTCAATTTTGCCGGACAAGAAAACTTCTAATCAAGAGTCACTATTCTTTAGATCCCGGTTGGGAACATATTAGCAGTATGTGCTTGTTTGGTTCGGTACAGCACCTTCCCTCATGGGAAAAAGCAAGAGATATGCGAAATTGAAGACTCAACCACAACAAAGGACAGTTTCAAAAACAAGAAGAATAGCAGATAATGCGGAATAAACTTCAATGCTTGTCAGTAATCAGCTCAGATGAAGCCCACCGTTGCGACGCACACACCACTTTTGCATGGGCCTTGTTTTACACCTATGGGAACGATACATGTTAAGCCCGAATTCCAACCGCGACGCTATGAACAGTAATTTAGGGCTCATAACCCAACACAGAAAGTCAGAACATATAAGAGAGCGTGCTAAGCGGAAGCGGGTTGACGATTTAATGAACGATCGTGGGAGCACATCAATCGACTAAACGATGACCGAAAATTAGGTCAAGCTGGCGCATGGACAAAACGAATTGGCGGGGTATTAGTCAGTGTCTATCATGGACAACTGTATCACGTGATTGGACGACCAATGGGAACTGATACACCCCGAAATGCTAACAATCCATACCAGATGGTACGTGATTTAAAGCTGACTTCATAGGTGAAATCGCATTGGAAACAAATCACGTAATCGAAGACAAGTCAAATGTCTGCTACTGGATATAAGTAGTACATTGACCTCTTTTCCATATTCCAAACTCGTTGTGCAATCTACGTATTCATGGATTTCTGGTGAAAAGTGTGCATCATTGATATATACTTATTATGAAATATATATATATTCGTATCATTTCGTTTGTTTCATTTTTGTTGTTACCAGCACACCAGGAAAACGATCAAAACATTCGTTACAGCCAGCGTTGGTCAATATGTGTGCCGCCGTTATTACTCATTATTTTATTGATGGATTACGTTTAACACGTTTATTACGTGACTCCCGAAGTACCGTATGATTCGTTAAGCAGGAAGGATTACTTTACACTCCCCGGCTTCTTCCCAGTTTCAATTGTTTTTACAACCAATAACTACGCACTTTCGTGCGACGGTTTTGATTGCTGTCTTTTGGTCGCCCATTAGGATAAGAGAGCAGGATGAGGATTGGAATGTTGAGATTAAATTCAGGGGGAAGAAAGAGAATTCATATGGAATGTAGTTGCAGAAATAATGAGTAGATGCACGATCGCCACTGTTTGCGACACCTTGCCCTATAGCCCCCAACCACCAGTCATCATGATCTCGGGGTCCCCATCCAGGAAGTCTAATATGACCTACGTAACCCAGTCTCCTAGTTGGAGTTTTCCTACCCTCATACCAGGTCCTCGTTTGACCGTCCTTGACCTTTTTCCAACCGCCACCTACCTCGACAAACATCGCTCGCCGTGGCAACCTATCTAGTGACATGCGTAGCACATGTCCCAACCATCGTAATCTATGGAGGTCCAGTGGACGACAGCGATTACCTAAAACTTTACGCCTAACCTCAGCATTGCTCGCCCGGTGACCCCACCAGACTCGTGCAATGCGACGTAGACAGCCGTGTTCGAATACCAACAATTTATTTCTATCTTATGTTCGAACACCGCTGTTTACGTGGCATTGTACTTCGAAAGGATCCTCTCTGGAGAAAACGCTCCGTGCATTTTCACCGTTGAAGGGACTTACTTTTCCCTTTAGCGCAATAAGGTGGTTGAACTGCGCGCATGTTTCTGGGGCACAGACCCAAAGCGTTCAGCCAGACCAAACGGGTTTTGTCATCGTTCGTTAAGTCCATTTACTGACAACTGGGACTTATTTGTCACTGGCGGCGAAAGGTCAAAGGTCAAAGCGCTCCGCTTTTCCCACCACAAAACACAAATCAGTCAGGAGGGTGTGTGGACGCGCTTGTGAGATGTGATCACCCGTTGCCATTTGGCGGAGTTTCCTAAGCTAAAGTACAACTGATCCACAGCTGAAAACTCTACCCACCAGTGTGTTTCCGGTTTAGTGAATCACCTGGTAGAAGTGTATCTCTCAAACAAAACAATGCCATCACTCGACCCATTGTAACCTCTAACGAGTGAACCGCACAATTTCGTCAAGCTCTAGCATGGGCGACTGTGACTACCGTTCATCCATTCGCACAGGCACGTCAGTGCGACAGCGGTTGCCGATCGGTTCGAGACCTAACGTCTGACGTAACAGCCCCTCTTACCAGCTACACGGGAACGGGGGAAAACCTTTCATTGACGGTGAAGGAATTCAACAAAATTTGTGCAACAAGTATTATGAGAAACGGTGCCAAAGCGCTGGTTAACAAATTAAAATCTACCGGAATTGTACACGATCGGAAACGCAAGGGACATCCACGAACAAGGAAGGATGAATGTGATATACTCAACGTTTTCAATGTGGGCATTGAAATCCTCAGACGACCATAAGGCAAACTGCCCAGGAATGCAACATGTCACAGTATTCTGAGCTCAAGATTTGTATCTTTTCCTGATCCCCTTCACTTATGCAAAAAGTGCATGCGCCAAAAGTTAAGTCCCGCCACTTTTTGCACACAACCTTGACCTATTTTTAATGAAAACCATCTTTTTTGGGTGGCGGGGTTAATATTTTGACGGGGCTTATTTGGAAAAGATCCGAACAACTTTAATAATATGAATATAATTTTTTCTGTAATATATTTTTCGGAATTTTATTTCCGACGTAGTTAGCGAGGTCGTTCAACGCGAAAACAACCAGCTGGGAAAAAACAAGACGAGTATTGCGCGGGCCGACATTAGAGGATATTGTTGTCCGTTATTAAGACAAGTTCAAAGTTTTAGTATATTTATCCGTTTACCGAACCCGCTTCGAAAAATAGTGCATGTATCTGAGACGAGTCAAACGTTGATCCAGTGACATCATCTCTTCTGCATTTTCCATTCGGAATTTCCCACATGGCGCGCCGCTCCACAACTGATTCTCTTGTGGTGATTCTCCACCAACATTTAGGCAGCATCGGATTCGGAACCTATCCTCCTCCTGTACCGGCCCGAAAATCACACGACCGATTGGGTTCATTTATCGATCGGTCGAATGGTTCAGCCGCAAAAAGGGACCTGGTGCTTGCCCAGCTAACCCGAGCGAGAAACCACACCTTGTTTACAGCTGTGAGTCTCAGACAGGCCCAGTGAACTTCGACTGTGTAGCAGGTGTGCCATCAGCACTCGGATGGATTGGACGTAACAACAAGAGCATTCCAAAACGTACAAGCTGGTAATCAGACAGTCTCGTGTTGGGGTGAAAGATTTTAAGCGCCGCAGATCGCAGAGTGTGATCTAATCAGATCGCATTAGGGGTCAAAGGAAATTTACTTGTTTAAGATCACGGGTGAGAGGGACGAGAAGATGGAAAACGATGGAGCAATCGCACTGTAGGTCAATCACCCGTTTGCAGAGCTTCTTTGGTGTGATAGGTCCCATTGTTCAACTGGATTTCACTTTCGTCAACGAGACTATAGTATTACTGTCGCAAACCGTGGTTTGGTGATCACAGTACAAAAGTGACCGCTAGAAACTGGCCACGTTCCAGTGCCCCACAGTAATATAAAAAAACGGTGTAGATTACAAAGATTTATTTTTAGCAAAATCATAAATAGTCGTTTGTCTCAGCTTGGCTCTCCGTTGGAAATCAACAAACGCGCTATTTAAATCAATTATAGATTCCAGTAATCGACCCGAAAC